GCTCAAGGCTAGTGCTCAACCACTTCAGCCACAGCACCATCTCTGGCTTTTTTGAGTAGTTCACTGGAGATAAGAGTCTCACGAACTTCCTTGCCCTGGCTATCTTTGAACTTCGATGCTCAGATCTCAGCATCCTGAGTAGCTAGGATAACAGGTGTGAGCCACCAGCACCTTGAATGTTTTGGCCTTTTGAACATTTGCTAAGTACCCCAGCACCTAAATTAATAATTTTGAAATGCAAATTAGATGTAATAAAACACAGAGCTTTAAACAGTGACATATTGTGCTGTGAAGCCAGAGCTATAGAGCCTACAATGACAAAATTGAAGCAAAATTTGGCCACAATAGTTACAAGCGTGGGAGCTCCGAGGATATCTTCTCACTTCCCGTTTATTCCCATGAGAAAAGCAGTCTTAAATTACACAAGTCTTAAATGAGGCTGCGTCTTCAGAAATTCCTCACCAAACCATACCACTCATGCAGCTCCTACAGAGAGGCCTGTGTACTTCACAGTCATCACTCAGTTCTTCTGCTTATCCTCCCAGTCTGAACAGGCTCACCTCTGAATCCTCTGGCTTTCTCCTAATCTCTCTTACATTTAGGGAGCACTCACCTCTTTTCCGCCCTCCAGCCCCACTGTGCTCAAATCCCCGGGGCTCACCTCAGCTTCTGTAGTCTCAGATCCCAAGTCCGGTTGCTTCAGGTGTAAGAAACAACCTTCTAGAACTGTGGTTTGTCATAAAAACAACAACAAAAAATAAACCTTAGTGATGGGAAAGCTCTCAAGGTTGTACATTAACTCATCTCACAGGCGGAGATGCTGTCCTGTGTTTAAACACTTGGGAACAGCTTGCAAATAGCCCTGTGGTTTGGACTTTTCACTCATGAGGAATCTTGTGGACCAATAGCCAGGGGTTCTCCAAGCCGCCACCCTAAGCTCACAAGGTCACTCACGGCTGAGGACCTGTGGCAGCCAAAGGTCAGGTTAGGTGGATTCCGCCTCAATGTAGCATTTCATGTGTTCTATCAAAGGCTCGCACATAATACAATGGAAACTTTCATACTTCATACAACAGAGGCTTTCAGTCCCCAGCAACCCCGGAGCTCCAGAGGGGCGGTGAGGACAGCTCTGGACACCCGCTCCCCAAGTACCAGGAGGCCTTACCCTCTAGATGTCGTGCAGCAGTGGATCTCCACCCACATGCCCGTCCTTCGAAAATGTCCCGAGTGAGTCTTAAGAGTTCACTCACCAGCCAGCCGTCATCCCAGTGGTGGTGCCCAGCCCCCTCCAGCCCATTCCTGCTTCCCATCAAACTGCTCAGAACAGAGCCTGCACTTTGATCCAGTCCTATGAAGTATGTCTGCTTATAGACGCTTCCTGGAGACTCTTGGAGGTTCAGCTTTGAGGGTTCCCTTGGTGGGGTCAGCATTTAAAAATCATAGTATGGAGTATCCATATACATATTGCCTGTCTTCTGAGCTCAGCAGACACATTAGCATACATGTTCAAAACTGCCTCTTTACTAGCTGTAATGGAATTAAAACAGGCCAGGTAGGCCAGAGCCACTTGCTATATACAGCACTTCTGGGGAGATGAGGCACCGGAGGCCCAGTGGCATGGGGTGCACCAGGAGGGGCCATGTTGTCTTCTGGATCCTGAGCAAAGGACAGGGCCACGCTGGACCAGGTCCTTGCAGGCTGGCGTGGTGCTTGCTCTCTGGCACCCACAGTTGTGGGAATGAAGCTTCTGAAAATTTCCCAGTGGATCTCTCCCCCCACACACACCTGAAATCTTCCTCAGCAAAGATGTAAGTATTGGGGCTGGGAAGGTGGCTCAGTGGTAGAGTGCTTGCCTTTCATGCATGAGGCCCTGGGTTTGATTCCTCAATACCACATAACCTGAAAAAACTGGAAGTGATGCTATGGCTCAAGTGGTAGAGTGCTAGCCTTGAGCTGAGGGACAGCACCCAGACCCAGAGTTCAGGCCCCACAACTGACCCCCCCAAAAAAAGATTTAAGTATTAAGTAGAGAACAATCTCATCTCTATAGTTTCTCGCTTGAGTGAAGCTGTCTTTGCCAGAAACAGGTAAAACAAGACGTTTCTTGTTGAGTGCTTTGGAAAAGGACTTTTTGTTTTCATGAATGGAAGTTAAAATAATCAGGAACCTGAACAGAATTTGGCTGCTAACTATCAAGAGTACATCTAAATTGGACTGAGGAGGAGGGGGTGTAGTTTTTTTTTTTACCAGTACTGGGGCCTGAACTCAGGGGCCTTGGTGCTGTCCCTTAGCTTTTTCCCTCAAGGGCTGGTGCTTTATCATTTGAGCCACAACCCCACTTTTTTTTGCTGGTTAGAGATAAGAGTCTCACAGACTTACCTGCTAGCTTAGAACCTTGACCCTCAGATCTCACCATCCCAAGTAGTTAAGACTACGATGTGAACTACCAGCACCTGGCTCTTTCTACAGTTTTATCTGAAATTCTAGCACAATGGGAGTTCTAACTATTCAAGGCCATATTTTAAAAAACACACATCTTTTGTCTTTCTCCTCCCATCTGGGTCCCCCTGAGGTGTGTTTGTGTGTGTGTCTGCAGTGTGTGTAAGGCTCAGTTTGGCTTTGTTTCCCCTTCCTATCTTTGCGGATCTTGGTTATTGCAGTCAAACAATACGTGTATTATGCAGAAGCTGGTCACAGGGAATTATGGATGGGAGTTGGTTTAAAGAGAATACTTCCTGGACCTTAGCTAAAGAGATTTCATCAACCCTAACAGCAAAACCAGCTCACCTCAAGGTGCTAAAGTTTACTGTGTGGTCAACTTAACGTGGCTCTCCAGCACTAATAAAGAATTTAACTTTCAATAGTTATTCAAGCTATTAGTCATAAAGTAACTTCCTTTCCACTCTTGTCTGGGCAAGGTATCAGTGAGCTCTTGCTACTGCAATTATAAACTATCACGTGATTTAGACTTGTACTTCAGTGGAGAATCACTGCTTGGTCTTTCAGAATGTGATACACATCGGAGCCAACCTACATTTCACCCAGTCAGAGTCTGGATGTGCTGCAAGTCTGTTGACACTCCATTCTCAACAAATAAGCTGGGTATGGTGGCACTCACCTGTCAGGATGGAGAATTTGAAAATGTGACCAAGGTCAGGGCACAGGCCCATGTAAAAAGACAACATCCTTTCACAAACAACTAAAGGCCTCTTCTCCCAACCCCCGCCCCCACTGCCGAAAAAAAAGTCTGGAAGTATGGCTCAGCAGTGGAGTGTCTGCCTAGCATGAGACCTTGAATTCAGACCCCAGTACTCCCACCCAAACCAAAACATATATATTATATATGGCTTCCATGGCCACATCCTCAATGATAATAAATCCAGGGATAGAAATGAATAACCATCAAGACTCTACAAATCATGACATCAGCTTGAGAGAGGAGGGGTGCTATATTGTGGCAGAATTCCCTGAATTTAAAGACAAAGGTTCTAGCTGGGTAGTAGTGGCTCATGCTAGCTATCCAGGAGGCTGAGATCTGAGGATCACAGTTGAAAGCCAAACCAGGAAGAACAAGAAAGGCCATGAGACTCATCTCCAATTAGGGACACACACACAGCCAGAAGTGGCATTGTGGTTCAAGTGGTAGAATGCTAGCCTTGAGCAAAAAAGCTCAGGGACAGCACCAAGGCCCTGAGTTCAAACACCAGGACCAGCACAGAAAAAAAAGGGCTAGAGGTATGGCTCAAGCAGAAGAGCACCTGACTAGCCAACAAGAGGCCTCAAGTTCAAATCTCACCCAGTACCATACACAAAGACAAGACTTTGTAAGAGAAGCCATAAGGAAGGGACGGAGTGGGCCAGCTCTCCGCGTGGCATTGCTGTAAACAGAGGCCGCCACTCCTCCAGAGCATGGCATCCACCCACCCAGAGTCATGCAAGGCTCAGGCCTCATGAAAATCTTCGAAGGAGAGGTTCGTTTTATTTTTATCACAGCATGAATCCATTCCAGTGTAGGCTTTGGCTCCTAGGTGAAGCCTAGAAAATATCCTTTTCCATTTCCAGATCTTAAAACAGATGTGCAAAAACAAACATCTTCCACCCCACAGGAGCTGCCCCTCCACACCCAACAGCCCTGGGAGACACGCCACGAGCTCCTAGGAATAGTTCACACGCCTGCTGGCCACCGGCAGCAGCCGGGCAGTCTAGAAGTGCGAGGTGGGGTTTGCACGCCCCCGCTTGGGCCACTCCTCATCCACCCACCTGCGTAGCACCTTCTCCACATCGGCCCGGTGGTAGAGCCGGCACAGCTCCATCAGCTGGGCCACAGTCCTCTGGCTGTGGCGGAACAAGAACTGGAGGGTGGGGCTCTGCGGCCTCTGCTCCAGGAAGCAGAGCTCATCATAGGACATGCCCCACTTGCTGGCGAAGTTCCTCCAGTTCTTCACGGTGGGGTGACACGGGTCCAGCTTTATCCTGATCACGTCCAGCAAGTCCTGGTCATCGAGCAAGTCACTTATGGTGGGGACCCGGAGAGAACACGAGGAGCAGGAACAGTCTTCCTTACACAGCTGGTCCTGGCCAACCCCTGAATGAAGGAAGGGGACGCACCGGTCAGCCGGGGGCTTGGCAAACATGTCCTGCACTCCTTCTGCCCTTTACCTTCATGTCGAAGTGTGACAGCATTCATCCATCTAGGACAATCACAGCCTTCCATAGACAAACTGTTCACAACACCCATTTCTCGGGACTACAAGGTTATTATTCTTGACTGCCAAAGACAAGTTGTTTTGAGTACTAGATGCAGTTGTGAGACTTGACAGAGTATCCTCCTTTCTGACCAAAGCTCCCTGCACCTCCCAGCATGCCTCTCAGTGTGGCTTGCAATCAGATCAGTTCATAAGGCCAGACCCCTGAGAAACCTGTCACGTTTGTGCATGCCTCAGCCCTCTGCCACACAAGATTTGTCATCAAACTCAGTGTGGCAAGGTATCATGGATTACATGATTCCTTAAAAGTTCTTAATTAAACCTAGCTGGACACAGTGCCTTGTATCTATAATCCTAGCTACTCCAGAGGCTGAGATCACAGTAAGAGGCCTACAGAGGGTGAAGAGTTGTTAAACTCCATCTCAACCAATAAAAATGTGGGTGGGGAGGTTTAAGCCTGTCCTGCTAGCTATATAGAAAGGGTAAACAGGCTCAGGGTCATTCAGACCAGTTATATGCACATTTAAAAACAAGAGCCAGGCATTGGTGGCTCAAACCTGTCATCCTAACTACTCAAGAGGCTGAGATCTGAGGATTGGGGTTCAAAGCCAACCTTGGCAGGAAAGTCCTCGAGACTCATCTCTAAGTAAGCCAGAAGTGGAGGTGTGGTTCAAGTGGCAGACAGTCCTGAACAAAAAAAGCTAAGGGACACTGGGCATTGGTGGCTCACGCCTGTAACCCTAGCTACTCAGGAGGCTGAGGTCTGAAGATCATGGTTCAAAGCCAGCCTGGGCAGGAAAACCCATGAGACTCTTATCTCCAATAAAATACCAGAAAACTGGAAGTGGCACTGTGGCTTAAGTGGTAGAGCACTAGCCTTGAGCTGAAGAGCGCAAGGACAGCACCCAGGCCCAGAGTTCAAGCCCTATGACTGATAATAATAATAATTTAAAAATAATAATAGTAAGGCAGGAGGAGGAAGAGATCTCAGCAATATCAAGCCAGCCTGCGAGCACAAAGACGTGAGTTCAAACCTTCAGTACCAACAACAACAAAAATACCAGCACTGAGAAAGTGCAGCCCTCCTCTCGATACTGCTTTGGCCAGACATCAGTGGTCCACAGCTTCAATCCCAATTTATCTGGGAAGCTGAGAGGGGAGGATCTCAGTTTGAAGCCAGTAGGTAGAAAAGTTTGTGAGATTCTATCTTAAGAATAACCAGCAAGCTGGGTGCTGGTGGCTCACACCTATAATCCTAGCTATCCGGGAGGCTGAGATCTGAGGATCATGGTTCAAAGCCAGCCTGGGTAGGAAAGTCCGTGAGACTCTTTTCTCCAGTTAACCACCAGAAAACCGGAAGTGGTGCTGTAGCTCAAGTGGTAGAGCGCTGTCTTGAGCTGAAGAGCCCAGGGACAGCATCCAGTCCCTGGGTTCAAGCCCCATAACAACAACAACAACAAAAAAGAACCAGCAAGCTGGGTGCTGATGGTTCAAGCCCCAAACCCTAACTACTCAGGAAGCTGAGACCTGAGGAAAAATCCATGAGGCTATTATCTCCAATTAACCACCAAAAGGCCAGAAGTAGACCTATGGCTCAAGTAGTAGCACACAGGCCTTGAGAAAAAAAGGCTTAGAAACAGTGCTCAGTCCCTGAGCTCAATTCAAGCCCCAGGACTGGCACACATGCACACACACACATACACACACACACCCTAAGAAATGGTTAATTTCAGATGGCGCCTTAGCCTTATCTTAACCCACGCGCAGGCACACACACACACACACACACACACACACACACCCCTAAGAAATGGTTAATTTCAGATGGCGCCTTAGCCTTATCTTAACCCTTCCCTTTGGGGCTGGCAGGTGGTAAAATACCAGTCAATGAACAGTTCACTGTGAGTTGGAACACGACTGGGTTCAGAGGTCACACTGTGGACCCTAGAAATGGCTCCCGCTGGAGGCTGGCGGGGATGGTGGGGACATGGAGTCTCTCTGGGGGGAGAGGGGAGGCATCCCTTTATCTCCTCTGCTGCTTCCTAGCCCTGCGTGCTCCAGGGACCCTGTGAGCGGATGGCTTGGAAAGGTGTAATTATAGCCTGAATTACTCAGAACAACTAAACAGTAAACATTTTATTCTGAAGGCTGTAGAGAAAGCCCAGGATTAGAGTTCTAACGGAAACCAGGTGTCAGGTCTGGAGCTTGCAAAATTCTAGCCCGGGGTCAAAGCAGATTTACACACTCGTGCAGTTAACTTGTTTTTTTGGTTTTTTTCCTTTTCCTTCCTTCCTTCCTTCTGCTCTCTCTTTCTCTGTCCTCTCTTTTTGGTCAGTGGGGCTTGAAGTCTGGGCCTGGGCGCTGTCCCTCAGCTCTTCAGCTCAAGGCTAGCATTCTACCACTGGAGCTACAGCACCACTTCCAGTTTTGTGGTGGTTCATTGGAGATAAGAGCCTCACAACCTTTCTTGCCTGGGCTGGTTTTGAACCGTGATCATCAGATCTAAGCCTCCTGAGTAGCTAGGATGACAGGTGTGAGCCACCGGCACCCAGCCAGTTAACTTTGTTTAGGGGTAAATTTATGCCTGCTTCTGTGTGCCCTCTGCTGTGACACCATGCAGAGCCTAGGGGGTGTGCCAAGAAGGGGATGGAGCTCTGGATGTGTGCATTGATGTGCCACGCAATTATCAGGACCAGAGGAATAAGGAACTCCTCACACTGTGTCCCAGTGCCATCCCCAGAAAAGGCAAAGTGGACACAGTCACCAAGCAAGTTCTGTGCTCTGCTGACCTGTGCACCACCGCTGCTTTCCAGAGCGCGCGCACACACACACACACACACACACACACACACACATTAATGACAAACACATTCTCAACTCTGGTTCACCATCTAGCTATCCCTGAAGCCCCAATATCTTTACTGTCGGTCATTTTACCTGAAAGAGGTTCTTCAGTACTGTCTGGAAAGCCGTTTTCTTCTCCCTAGAAACCAGAATGTGACCTTCATTAAAATCACACCCACAGGGAGAAGCGAGAGTGAGGGAAGGGGTGACACCATCCACAAAGAAACAGATTCATGACTTAAGTAACTGTAACCCCTCGGTACATCACCTTTATCATGAAAATAAAAAGCTGGAATCGCGCCCCCAGGTGAGTGGCGGTGTCACCAGTGCTCCCTGTCCGTTGGGGCAGGCCTGCAGCACCGTACCGTGCATGACACCCCCAGTGCTCAGAACATATCCTGCCATGGGGGACACTCCATATGTATTTGTGGACCCTGTTAATATCCTGTTTGTGTGCTGTTTAAAACAGCAGATCAAACTGGGCACTGTGGCTCCTGCTTGTCATCCTAGCTACTCAGGAGGCTGAGATCTGAGGATCGCAATTCAAAACCAGCCTGGACAGAAAAGTCCACGAGAATCTTATCTTCAATTAACCAACAAAAAGCCAAAAGTGAAGCTGTGCCTCAAGTGGTAGAAAGGAAAAATCAAACAAGTGAGAACATGGAGTCCTGAGTTTGAGCCCAGTACCTCCGCACACATGAAAGTGCTAACTCTGCAGTAGCAGTGTGTTCTATGTAATCTTAAGCAGTCATCTCTGAATCTGCGAGGCCATTCTCTTCGCTGTGAGCACACAGCCCTGGGTCTCGGCCGAGTGTAGGGGTGTATATACCTGTCTAAGCACAGTCTCATCTCCTGTTTTCCCCATGTGGGAGACCCCTTCCTGGACTAATTGAAGCAATTCCTGCTCTGGTGTGAGTCCTCTTCCTTGACTTGCTGTGCTTACTGGAACAACCAAACCAGCCTGCTGAACACACTTTACTCCTTTCCATTTGATTGAACCAGAACTTTTTTCATTTTATTGCCAGTCCTGGGATTTGAATTCAGGGTCTAGGTGCTGTCCCTGAGCATTTTTGCTCAAGGCTAGCACTCTACCACTTGAGCCACAGTGCTACTTCCGGCTTTTTCTGTTTATGTGGTACTGAGGAATTGAACCCAGGGCTCCATGCATGCTAGGCAAGCACTCTACCATTAAGCCATCTTCCCAGCCCCTTTTTCTTTAGTTAGGGTGTGTGTGTGTGTGTGTGTGTGTCCTGCAGGGTGTGTGTGTATGACCTGCAGGCTGTGTGTGTGTGTGTGTGTGTGTGTGTGTGTGTGTGTGTGTGACCTGCAGGCTACAGGGAGCCTATGGAGGACAGGAATGTCTCCATCTAGCCTTGTGCAAATAAAAGCCCTGAGTCAGGGCCTCCATTCAGAGCTCACAGCTGGGTGGAGGCTGGCCTCTGCACATCTGCACGTTTCTAGCAGGACCGGGCAGGCCTGTGTGTGCTTTTGATCAACACAGTCAGTTCTGCTCAGAGAACTGGAAACTTGGGCCTTAGAAACAGAACAGGAACTGCAGGTCATATCGAAAGACACGAATGCCAGAAGTTGACAGGTTTTGTGGTATGTGTGGTCCCTGCTAAAACATGAGGTTTTCCCAAAGTAAAATGATGCTACAAAGCCGGGGGCACACTTGTAATCTCAGCACTTGGCAGGATGAGGCAGGTGTTTTGAGGCCAGCCTAGGCTACCCAGCAAGACTGTCTCAAAAAATCAAAGGCTTCCGATCTAGTTCAGTGGTAAAGTGCTTGCCTAGTAAGCTTGAGGTCCTGGGTTTGATTATCAGGAAAGGAGGAGGAGGTGGGAGGGGGAGGTGGGAGGAAGAGGTGGGAGGGGGAGGTTGGAGGAGGAGGTGGGAGGGGGAGGAGGAGAGAAGCATGAAACAATAAAAATCCAACTGGGCATAGTAATTCATGCCTGTAATCTAATCTGGAGGTAGATAGCTAGAGGTTTGTGGGGTTTTTTTGTTTTTATCTTGTGTTTTGTCAGTTGTGGGGCCTGAACTCTGGGCCTGGGCGCTGTCCCTCAGCTCTTCAGCTCAAGGTTATCGCTCTACCACTTGAGCCACAGCACCACTTCCAGCTTTTTCTGCTTATGTGGTGCTGAGGAATCGAACCAGGGCCTCATACATGCAAGGCAAGCGCTCTACCACTGAGCCATCTTCCCAGCCTTAGAGGACTGAGTTTTAAGAGCAGCCTAGACAAAAAATTTGCAAGATCCTCTACTAAAAACAAAAGTGTCTTACATATTTGGCTTAATTTCTCATATTCCACAGCTAATGTCTGCCCAGAATCCCCTGATATACACAAGGGAGGGACTGACTCCATTACTGTGAAGTTGAATGCAGTCCCCAAGGCCATGTCCACTCACCCTCAAGACCAAAATCAAGTTGTCCCCGCCCCCTAGTGGTGGCAGCCTAGATCACAAGGAGCCCCAGAGGAAAGCTCCGCCCTCCTGATTCACACTTAAGGACCACCATCCAGTTGTTACTTAGCTAGTTTTGGGGGACAGTAATCCCTGCTAAGGTTTGGTCTCTGTTTTAAGCACATATTTTACTAAGTTGCTTCAAAAATAGGTTTTCAAATGCCGGGGTGCAATAGTAATAGGGCTTACCTAGCAAGATTTTAGATCATTTAGAGCTGTTTCTTGGGCCTGTGAAATTCAAGTAGCTTTTAGTGGTGACAATTTCCAAAAGAGACCTAATATTATAATGAAACTCTTCTGAAAACATCTATCTGCTAGCCACATGTAGACATTAATATTATACTGTGAACTTCCCATTGAGCTTGTCTTAAAAAAAAAAAAGCCAACTCAGGCTGGGAAGGTGGGTCAGTGGTAGAGTGCTTATCTTGCATGTATGAGGCCCTGGGTTCAATTCCTCAGCACCACATAAGCAGAAAAAGCTAGAAGTGGCACTGTGGCTCAAGTGGTAGAACACTAGCCTTGAGTTGAAGAGCTGAGGGGCAGCACCTAGGCCCAGAGTTCAGACCCCACAGCCAAAAAAAAAAAAGCCAACTTTTTATAATAAACTGCTATGTTACAATGACAATAACAGTATTTGTTTTTACTTCTTTTGTGTGTGCCACTCCTGGGTCTTAAACTCAAGGCCTTGCTCTCTCAATTGGCTTTTTTTACTCAAGGACAGGTAGATTCTTTTATTTATATAGTTTTTTGGTTTGTATTAGTCCTGGGGCTTGAACTCAGGACCTGGGCATTTTCCATGAGTTTTTGGTTGGTGTTTATTTGTTTTGTTGTTGGGTTTTTTTTTAATCAAGGCTAGCATTCTACCACTTGAGCCACAGCTCCACTTCTGGCTTCTTGCTGGTTGACTGGAGATAAAGAGTCTCTTGGATTTTTCTGCCTGGGCTGGCTTCAAACCTTGATCCTCAGATCTCAGCCTCCTGAGTAGCTAGGATTATAGGATTATAGCACCTGATACATATAAAGAAAAAATGGACACAAGCCCATTTTTTGAAAGTATATTTGAGAAACTGGCTTCATTGATCTTATTTTCAGTGTAAGAGAATGTTCTATGGCCTGGAACACAGACAAAAAGATCTACTACCTTAATCTTACTATCCAGTAATGAAACAGTAATGTGCCCAAGTATTGGTATCTTAGAACTTGTGTTAAAAAGGCATAGGCAGATGGCCGGCATCATTGGCTCATGCCTGTAATCCTAGCTATTCAGGAGGCTGAGATTCAAGGATCATAGTTCAAAACCAGCCCAGGAGGGAAAGTTGGTGAGGCTCTTATCTCCAATTAACCACCAGAAAATGAAAAATAGCACTGTGGCTCAAAGTGGTAAAGCACTAGCCTTGAGTGAAAAATCTCAGGGACAGTGTCCAGGCCCTGAGTTCAAGCCCTACAACTGACAACAACAACAACAAAAGGCACAGGCAGAATAAAGCCAGCACAAAGCAGGGTAGAGGTCCAGGCAAGGCCTCGGGACAGGAAGCATTGCAACTAGGATGAAAGAAATCCTACATATTGGGGCTGGGAAGTTGGCTCAGTGGTAGAGCGCTTGCCTTGCATGCTCAAGGCCCTGGGTTCGATTCCTCAACACCACATAAGCAGAAAAAAAGCCGGAAGTGGCGCTGTGGCTCAAGTGGTACAGCGCTAGCCTTGAGCTGAAGAGCTGAGGGACAGTGCCCAGGCCCAGAGTTCAGGTCCCATGACCAGACCAAAAAAAAAAAAAAACCAAAGAAATCCTACATATGGAAGAACAAAATCATTGAAATAAATGCTGCGGTGCTTTGCTAGGCTGAGAGCAAACCTGGAGGTCTGTGTGCACTTAATCCTTCTTTCCACCAACAAGTTCTGCACCCAGCTGCCAGGCAGGCCAGCCACCGCTGCAGCTGCAGTGGGAGGTGTCCTTGGGTGTAATTCCATACCTCTGCTATGCTTTCAAAGATGAAAGATAGGCGGGTTTTCCCATTGTGCCCGGAGTATAGTTGGCTATTGTTCTGAAGCACTGCAGAGCATGGGTCGGGAGGCTATGGTTTATACATGTGAACACAGGCAGACATTGGGGAAACGGGTCTTCCTGCAAGGCAGGGTCTCAGCACCTATCTGCTTCATTCACAGATCCCACTGTGAGGGAAGAGGCACGGTGACCGAGACTACTCGGAATGCTATATGGTGTGTGCTGTGTGCTGAGGAAGTATGCTAACAAATTCCTGGGGCTGTCATTTTCCTGCGGGGCAGAATTACCTGTGACCGAAGCGTGGCTCCTTGAGGGTCATGTGTTAATGCACAAAAAGTTTTCCTGAGATGAAGTACTATTTAAAACTTTTGGATGATTTATTCCAGTGTGTGTGTGTGTGGTGTCTGCTCGTGCACATATATTTCAAAGCAAAAAGAGGTATGAGAATCCGTATTGTTGTTAGTGGTGGTGGTCATGGGGCTTGAACTCAGGGCCTGGGAGCTGTCTCTGAACTTTCACTCAAGGCTTGTGCTCTACCACTCTGAACCACAGCTCCATTTCTGGTTCTCTCATGGAGACACGAACTTTCCTGCCGGGGCTGGCTTTAAATTGTGATCCTCAGATCTCAGCTACCTGAATAGATGGGATTACAGGTAAGAGCCACCAGTGCTTGCCTGGTTAGGTTTGAGAATCTTCTCCCAGTTTCTCAATTCCATCTCACACACCACAGGTTGCTGGTGGTGTCCTGTGGTTCCACCCCTTCCTGTTTACATAATCATACCTGTATGAACCACCTGAGCAGGACACTTTTAACTCCTAAACCACATTTACAAATTGCTTTCACTTCTTTTTATAATACATCATGGACATCTTTTTAAAACCAGTAATTGTGTGCTCCCTCCCTCCCTCTCCATATCTCTCTCTCTCTCTCTCTCAATCTGTGCCAGTACTAGGGCTTAAACTTAGGGCCTCATGCTCTCTCTTGGCTTTTCATTTAAGGCTGGAGCTCTACTAGAGCCACAGCTCTACTTCTGGCTTTTTGGTGGTTAACTGGAGATAAGAGTCTCACAGACTTTTCTGCCCTTGCTATCATTATCCACAGATCCCAGCCTCCTGAATAGCTACCATTATAGGTGTGAGCCCCTGGTGCCTAGCTACAAATATCTTATCTTGACCTGGAGGAGGAGAAGGGGAGGGGGAATGAAGAAGGAAGAAGAAGGAAAGAAGGGAGGGAGGGAGGGAGGGAGGGAGGGAAGAAAGAAAGGGAAAAAGAGGGAGGAAGGAAGAAGAGGGAGGGAGGGGGAAAAGGAGGGAAGAGAAAGAAGAAGGAGGAAGAGGGAGGAGGAGGGAGGACGAGGGAAGAGGAAGAGGAGGAGGGGGAGGAGGGGGGGGAGGCAGCTAGACCAGGCCATGTTGACAGCTCAGAACATCTGATCTCCTTCTGGGGAAGCCAGCCTCTGGAGATTCCTTCCCACCTCCCCACAAGCGTAGTGGCGGCAGTGTTTAGAGTCCTTTCCCAGCCTGGCTTGGAAGAGAACAGTGTGGCTACGCAGAGGATAGCAGGAAGGCCGAAGCATCTCCATCTCACCCGAGGGCACGTTCTAGTAGTTTATAGTTCCACCTCATAGCAGTGGTTCTTAGCAGTGGTTCTTCAAAGTTCTATAAACTTCGCAGCAGGGGTAAAGTAAGGACGCACTGAGGCAACCCGTGCTATCGGATTCTCCCTTAGAGGAAGACAAAGCTGAAGAGCTGCTGGCTGTGTGCACAGGTCTTGTCAGAGCTTGAAAGGATTGCTGCACGGCTGGGAGCAGGCAGGGGCCTGCCCGGCTGACTCAAGCAGCGCAGCCGCAGTGGAGGAGCCGGTCACCATGCCCTGGGACCACGGTGCCCACAAGGGCTTCAGGTCTGCGGACATCTTGAGCTCCTTGCTGTCTGGCCAAAGCCATGAGTCTGCTGCATGGGATTCTGTCTCTGAGAAGAATGACCTTCCATTTGCCAGTTTTGTTCCAGTAGCACTCGCTCCTGTTCTGCTAGCTGTTGGCAACTCTGGGGGACTGTGGGGGAGTGGGGTGGCACTGGACAAAGCCCAGGTTATATCCCTGCTCTCACCAGCTGTCTTGGGCTCCCTCCTCTGTATCGAGGGGCTGGACAGCAAGCTTCTAAGGGCCCCTTCAGCTCCTAATCTGTTTCCTAATATCTGGATAATTCAAAAAGAGACGCTGAAGCTGGGCTTTGGTGGCTCACACCTAGAATCCTATATCTAACCAGAAGGGTAAGATCTGAGGACCACAGTTCAAAGTCAGCCAGGGCACACAAATTTGTGAGACTCTTAAATGCAAGTAACAAGCAAAAAGCTGGAACTGGAGGCATGGCTCAAGTGATAGAGTACCATCCATAAGCGATAAGTGTGGAAAGCCTAGAGTTCAAGCTCCAGTATTGGCTTGTGCACACACACACACACACACACACACGCACACACACACACACACACACACACACACACACACACAAGGAAGGAAGGAAGGAAAGGAGAGAGGGAAGGAGGGAAGGAGGCGGGGAAGGAAGGGAAGGAGGGAGGGAGCGAGCTAGGGAGGGAGGGAGGGAGGGAAGGAAGGGCAGGCAGGCAGATTTAGCTCAGAGCTCTAGAGGCTGGGAAATCCTTTGCCTCTGGAAGGCCCACCACCGCACAACGCTTCACACTTTCCAAGCCACAAAGAACCGGAGCCACAGCCCCAGGTCACTGGCATCTGTGCCACCTTGACACACCAGGCCTCCCAGCCTCAGTCCCATTCCCTAAACAGCAATGGTTAAGCCACCGCCTGAGTTGGTACTGAATACAGTAGGTAGGCTAGGGCTGTTTTTTTTTTTTTTTTTTTTAAGAATTAAAATGTTTGACTTCTGAATTCTCAAAAGAAAAATGACAGGGTTTAGAAATCATTAAAAAATGTCACTGGTCAGGGGCTGGGAAGGTGGCTCAGTGGTAGAGCGCTTGCCTTGAATGCCAGAGGCCCTGGGTTCAATTCCTCAGTACCATATAAGCAAAAAGAAAAAAGCCGGAAGTGGCGCTGTGGCTCAAGTGGTACAGCGCTAGCCTTGAGCTGAAGAGCTGAGGGATAGCGCCCAGGCCCAGAGTTCAGGCCCCACGACCGGACCCAAAAAAAAAAAAATGTCACTGGTCACTGGTGGCTCTTGCCTGTCATCCTAGCTACTCAGGAAGCTGAGATCTGAGGATCAAGGTTCAAAACCAGCCTGGGCAGAAAAGTCCATGAGATTCTTTTTTTTTTTTTTTGCCAGTCGTGGGGCCTGAACTCTGGGCATGGGCACTGTCCCTCAGCTCTTCAGCTCAAGGCTAGCTCTCTACCGCTTGAGCCACAGCGCCACTTCCTGCCTTTTCTGCTTATGTGGTGCTGAGGAATCAAACCCAGGGCCTCATGCATGCAAGACAAGCACTCTACCACTGAGCCACCTTCCCAGCCTTTCATGAGACTATCTCCAATTTACCACCAGATAACCAGAAGTGGTGCTATGGCTCAAGTGGTAGAGTGCTCACCTTGAGCAGAAGAGCTGAGGGACAACACGGGACAATGCCCAGGCCCAGAGTTCAAGCCCCACAACCAACAACAACAACAAAAAAATGTCACTGGACACCAGTGGCTCATGCCTGTAATCCTAGCTACTCACGAAGCTGAAATCTGAGGATCACAGTTTGAAGCTAGCTGAGGCTAAAATGTCCCCTACCACTTGAGCCACAGTGCACTTTCAGTTTTCTGGTGGTTAATTGGGGATAAGAGTCTCACAGACTTTCCTGGATGGGTGGCTTTGAACTGTGACCCTCAGATCTTAACCCCCTAAGTAGCTAGGATTACAGGAGCCACCAGCAGCTGCCATTATCGTTTTGTTGGCTCATAATTTTTCCTCTATGTGTATCAATGACACATGAAAGAAAGCAACTCTTTTTTCCAACTAACATTCATTTCTCTATTGTGGTCATTTTTTTTTATTTATTTTATTTTATTTTTTGGTCGGCCGTGGGGCTTGAACTCTGGGCCTGGGCGCTGTCCCTCACTCAGCTCTTCAGCTCAAGGCGAGCGCTCTACCACTTGAGCTACAGCGCCACTTCCTAACATTCATTTCTCGATCATAATACATATTTATGTTACAGAATGGACTAAAGAGACCTGTTATTCAAAGTGATAGAAGATAGCTACCTTGCCGAGATAATTCCAAGTTATTTTGTTATCTCTAAATTTTCCTATTTGCTCTTTACTATTTGTTTACTTTGAGATAGAATCTTCCCTATACAGCTCTGAGATTACAGATGTGTGTCACCCTATCTGAACATTCTTTCTAAAGCACTGTGTGAAATCATTCTTTTGTTTTTTTTGGGGTCCAGTCATGGGGCCTGAACTCTGGGCCTGAGCGCTGTCCCTCAGCTCTTCAGCTCAAGGCTAGCGCTCTACCACTTGAGCCACAACACCACTTCTGGCTTTTTTCTTTTTGCTTATGTGGTGCTGAGGAATTGAACCCAGGGCCTCAGGCATGCAAGGCAAGCGCTCTACCACTGAGCCAACTTCCCAGCCCGTGAAATCATTCTTTAAAAAAAAATCTAGGTGACTTATTGAATACTTCAGGGGGTGACAAGTCACTGAAATTATTCTTACCTGATGTGGATCATCAGAACTCGGTGGGCAGCTCGAAGTTATTGGATCACATTCCTCAGCTAGGGAAAACAAAAACACAACTTGACTGGAAAGAGCACGCTCTGGTGTTAAGACTAAAATTAAGGCTCAGTATCACCCACTTGCCTGGCCATCTGGTAAAACTGGTAGGGCTTAAATCTCCTAATGGCAAGTTCCCTTCTCAGTGCTTCTCCCGAGACCAAGCCTGCTGGCCTTTCAGGGACCAGGCGTGATTCTGCTCATGCTCAGTGGGTTCCAGGCTTCGCTGGCCTGTGGAATGATTACACAAGCCAGTCTCTTCTTCATGGGGGCCAGGGGCACACTGCCCTTTTGATGCTCAAAGCCTGCCCTCATGTAGCCTCGACTTTCGGCCCTGTTTCCCAGCCGGGTCCAGCCTGGCCCAGTAAGGCGTGAGTACCCAAGCAACAGAGGCTCCACCACGGTCAAGGGCAGAGTTAGTGGACTGCTCTTGCTGAACAACGCCACACGTACGATGGAGACCACCTGGGCTCTACTGGCAGCTGTTCCCTGATGGGACTTTGGGGTTGTGTTCTCGTTGTTGGGTGTCTGCCCTCTCTTTCACCTAAAATGCTCTTGTCCCAGGGTGAATATGCCTGTGATAGGCTAGACCGGGTAGAGTGCTGGCACGCGGTTTCCGAATGCACAACCTAGGCCTGCAGTCAGAGCCCAGCTTTCTACCTGGTGGAGCCTCAGCTCAGGCGCTGCCATTAGCTTGATGACTATCTCTGGCCGCCTGTGCCAGGCATCACCGTCCTAAGCAATGTTCAATGGTCATCCCAGCCCAGGCCCAAGAGGGCTGTTCAGAGGCATGCAGAAGGCACTTCCCTTCTGGAAGAATCCAGCCTGGAAAGAGCAGTGACTCTGCCTGTCCCTTACCTACTGCTTCCCTTGCTCCCCCATCCTTTGCTTCCGAGGGTGGGGTGAGGCCCAAGAGAAAAAGGAAAAGGGTCTCTTGGCCAGTACACCAGTCTACACCTAACACATCTGCTCTCTAGAGCCCAAAGGGTGACTCTTAAAATCAGTGGGCTAGCCTGGTGCCACTGGCTCACACCTGTAACTCTACTCAGGAGGCTGAGATCCGAGGATCTCAGTTTGAAACCAACCAGGGCAGAAAAGTCTGTGGGATTCTTATCTCCAATTAACCACCAGAAAACTGGAAGTGGTGCTGTGGCTCAAAGTGGTAGAGTGTTTGTTTGCCTTGAGCTGAAGAGCTCAGGGACAGCACACAGGCCTAAGTTCAAGCCTATGACTGACCAAAAAATTATATAATTATTTTGGTCCAAATCTGGACTCAGTATCTGATTCTTCCCCTCACTGTATGGCTCTCTACCAACTGAGCCACACCTACAGCCACAATTTATGTACTTTATTTATTTATTTATTTATTTTGGGGCTTAAACTCTGGGCTTGAGCGCTGTCCTTGTGCTCTTCAGCTCAAGGCGAGCGTTCTACTGCTTGAGCCACAGTGCCACTGCCAGTTTTCTAGTGGTTTATTGGAGATAAAAGTCTCACTGACTTTCCTGCCCCAGCTGGCTTTGAACTGCAATCCTCTATCTCAGCCTCCTGAGTAGCTAGGAATACAGGCGAGAGCCACCAGCGCCTGGCTACTTTATTTTATTATTTATTTCTTTTCCTGTCTTGGGGCTTGAACTTGGGCCCTGGGCACTGTCCCAGAGTTTGTTTTTGCTCAAGGCTAGCTTTCTTCCATGTTAGCCACAGCTCCACTTCTGGCTTTTGGGGGATTAATGGGAGGAAAGAGTCTCAGACTTTCCTGCCCTGGCTGGCTTCAAACTCCAATCTTTAGATCTCAGCTCCTACTCAGGAGCTAGGATTACAGGTGTGAGCCACTGGTGCCTACCTCCCAATTATACATTTCAACAAAATTAATTTCTGAGCTACAGTATGTATCATGCCATGTGCTAAGTGCTGGCATGTTTCCATTTTATAATTTTAAAAAGTGAAAAATCACTTGCATTAGTGCATGGTTCAAGACATTAATAACAAATCCAAGTAGTTATATTATTTGTACATACCTTTTGGGAGTCCAGTGTCTTGGATGGGATATTTGTCTGACTGTAGAAACCAACAAGGGAGAAGGGTGAGTTTTAAATGTCAGTCAGAAGATCAAAGTATAATGAAAGCTTTGTGCGGGTTAAGTCATAACTTCCAATTAAAACCTGGGAAGGTTTTCATGGAGTTATCAACAACAGGCTTGACCTATTGGTGGTTTTTATTTTCCACTTACAGAAATGAAATCAAGGAAGAAAAGAAGCAAGTGTTGGAACCTAAAACAAAGAAAGGGATCTCCTATGTCCTTGAGCTCTGACCACTCAGCCACACTTCCTCTCTGTTGGGCTGTTAGTCTTTCTATTTCCTACAGCCAGCACTGAGGGACTCTGATCTGTGTGCATTATGGGCAGAGCCATTTCTTCTCTGCATTTTGGTGACAGTCCATGAACATGTGTTCTAGGCACAGTTCACCACTTGGGTTGAATTCCAGAATAGGATACAACTGTGTTATCCACTGCACAGGGATCTAAGACTCAATTACTAATTATGCACACACTTGGATGCACTACTTGAGGGTAAACGTGCTACAGAGAATTCAATTTACAGTTGTAACTAGAGGCCTGGTTCAAGTGAGAGCACCAGCCATGAGAGGGAAAAGTTGAGCTAGAGTGCCAGGTCCTGAGTTCAAGCAGAGTGCCAGCATATGCGTGCTGTGCAAGCAAGCACTCACACACGCGCATACACATACACACAGAGTTCTTACAGCCAGTCACCTATTTGTAATTTGTGGATAGCAGGTCCAGGTATCTAATGTTCTGTAAACTTTTTTCAGGTTAATGGGACAGCCTTGTCTGAACAAAGTGATAATTCCCAAGTTTTCTGCAAGTGTCACAAATGCCTTGCTCTGAAAGAGGAGAGAAGTAAATAAGTGTGCAATCAGGGTATTGTTATGATGCTTTCCCTTGGAGTTCTTTGGGAGCTAGGCAGTCAGGTTTCACAATGTCTAATTAGCCACCTTCACACCTTCCCACACTCAATCACAGAGAACCAGAAAGTCCCTGCTGAAGACTAAATTAGTTCTTCTGGTCACTCCATTCCCAGAGCACAGAAGCAATTGAGCCCTCTGTGCTTGTTACACACAGGTTTACTGTGACAGCATTGCCTGTAGATTGTGAGTGTTCTTGACTGGACCATGTCTGCCACACCGCCAGATTCAACACAGTGTACACTAAGAGCTGTGGAAAGATCTGGACAAGTACATGGGCAGGACTGAGTTCAGGTCACCTGAGTACCAATGCGTAAGCTGGTGTCCAGGACTTGGGTGGACAGAGGAAGGCAGGCTCGCCTCAGATGCCAGCTGCAGTGAGCACAAGAGGCAGAGGGTGGGGGAGTGGCAGGTACAAGAAGACATCAGCCCAAAGCCCAGGTGGCTGGGGAGGGGGCAGAGGAAGGTGGGGCTGGGTGGAACACAATGGAACCTCTTTCCAGTGAGGCTCATGAAACAGAGGGAAGGATTCAGGTCTAAGTTCTGAGACGCCAACTTCATCAAACATCCACTCCTGGTCTGCATGTGGGTAGATGGCCAATGGGCCTTGGTGTCAAGTCAGCGAATACAATTGGGCAGGAAAGAGGCACTAAAGAAAGGGGCCCCTTCTGGGTACTGGTGGCTCATAGCTGTAATTCTAACTATCCAGAAGACAGAATACCAGGCTAGCCTGGATCTGAGGGTCGAGGTTTGAAGCCAGACAGGGCAGAAAAGCCTGTGAGACTCCAAGCTCCAATTAACCACCAAAAAGCCAGAAGTGGAAAATGTCAAGTAACAGGAGGACAGGGGGATGGAGCTGGCCGCTAGTGGCTCACACCTGTAATCCTAGATACTCAGGAAGCTAGGATCTGAGGATCGCAGTCCTGGGCAGGAAAGTCTGCAAGACTCTTGTCTCCAATTAACTTCAGAAAGCTGGGAGTGGAGTTTTGGCTCAAGTGGAAGAGTACTAGCCCTGAAAAAGCTCAGCAACAGTGCCCATGACCAGAAGAAAGAAGAGAAGAGAGGAGAGCAGAGAAGAGCAGAGGAGAAAGGGAAAGAGAAGAGAAACAGAGAGGAAGGGAGGGAGAAGAGGGAGGAAGGGGGAAGGGATAGGGGGATATGGAGAGCTGAGCCCCATGTGTGGCCACAAAGATACAATCTGGAACCCACCGTGCTGAAAGATAAAGTGCTGGGGTCTGTGTCTTCCACCGGCTCCTTGGTCATCTGATCTGGAAAGAAAAAAGAAAAGGGGAGAATTTCAGCCAATGGAAAGAACCTTTGCCAGTGACCCAAAGAATAGAGACTATGCCACGTTCTAGTAGAGCACAGAGACATGGGACCACATGTCAGAAACTGCAGAACAGCTTAAACCCCAGGAGCCAGCATCCAGTCCCAGAACACACAAGCCAGTTTGGCGTCTGGCTTGTAAGACAGCCAGAGTCTCAAAGGACTCCTCAGGCTGGGATGGTGAGGACAGCAATGCCTTCAGTCACTGTCCGGACACCACATTAGCCTCTGATTCTTCTGTGGCCCTAAGGTGAGGGGTGGCGTCACTCAACTGAAGAACCTCAAAGACCAAGCCCGCAGAGGACAGAATGGATCAAGTGTGTGGACTTCAAATGGGCCCCGACAGCCTCACAGCCTGCATTTGGCTTTCTGGTTTTTTCTTCCTGTGCTTCTTCCATTCTGGTTCCTGTTTTGTGGGGGGAAAGCCCCCATGAAGCATCCAAGAAAGCCCCCCCCGTCCTCCCTCACCACTTTATTAGCACTGATGCACAGCTGGATGTAAACTCCTGATGACTTACTGTAAGAAAGCACGTGACAGGAGGGAGGAAAATGGAGGCAATGGCTTGGAAAGGAAGACTCTTACCCAGTCAGCAGCGCAGAGCAAGGAAGGAACTCTGGAGCCCATGGAGGAGGTGGGGGTCCTCACCTGCATTCCACCTGTCTTTCAGGAGTCTATGCTAAGACCTTGGGCAGGTCTAAAGGTGTGGCACCACAGACATCCACGCTGTGATTTCAGAGAAGCCCAACCAAGAGCCATTCACCTTGGACCAGTCTAGCGTGGGCATATCAAGAGACAGGCAGAAAGCAACAGGGCCGGGTGGCTCATGTCTGCAGTTTCAGTAATGGAACTTAAGCAGGAAGGGATGAGGGGGTTTATTGTTTTCTGAAGCATAGCAGTGAGGTGAGGCAGCCCTGAGAAAGGGTTATGCATTTGATGTAGAGATGTGATTGGACAAAGCGGGTCCCAATTGGATGAAGAGGGTCTAATGCAGAGATGTGATTGGCCAAAGCAGAAGTCTGATGCAGAGATGTGATTGGACAAAGAAAATCTGGCTCAGTTCTATAGACTGAAGGGACCCAGCAAAGCTGGCAACTCAAACATTTTCAGGTCTTTTTTTTTTTTTTTCTGGTCAGCAAAGTCTTGACTGCACCAGCCATTGCTGTGCAGCAGGCTTTGAATGAAGGCTATACTTGGCAGGGGTATGGCAAACGTGCCCACACAGCCAGCCCATGGCCAGCCCGTGTGTTCCCAGCACCTTTTCCTGCAGCTGGCTGAGGTCAAGACAGAAGAAATCAGCTCTCACAGGCCCAGAGTGGTCTATGCAAGGCAGATTTTGGGTGAAGAGCACTCCTAGTTATTTGAGACATTCGTAAGTAGAAAGTTCTCCTCAAGTCTTACCTAGATGCCTTGGGGTTTCCTAAATACAATGGTTAAAGATATCAAGTTAAATTTTCATCTAAAGTTCTATAATGAACACTTTTTTTTACTAGCTTCAGGTGACAGTGGACTGAATTCCCATTTGATGGGGGCCACAAGGAGCCTGAAGCAGAAGGGGGCGCCTCAGCCCAGAGAGGGCAAGGCCCACAGCTCTGCAGGGCTAGGGGGAAACCTCTCCCTATCCTGACTGTCACACCTCGGCTGGCAGAGGCTCCTCCTCAAAGCTGCCTGTCCCTCCTTCCCCCCCACGGTGATGACAACAAGCTCAGATCCCCCCACTTGCAGGTGGCTGAGGGGCCTGCCTGTCTCATGCGGTGTCTTTCAGGCTCTGCAGGCAAGCTGCAGTCATTTGGTTTTGGTGATCACATATCCTTAACCTGTAACACGAGAGGTTAGAAAGAGAGCCTCCATGTAGTCTGCATATGTCAAAGTCCATGAGTGGGGACTGTGGGAGCCACACAGTAATAGCAGTGTGAGCTGAGCTCACAGACCTGGGTCTACAGTCCCCTCCCCCCTCCCCTGGGGCCTCTCCACTACACTCACGGTCTCAGTGCTACCATATCATTTGGTGTGAATCCACTGTCTCTGACTCACAACAGTCTTCCCAAGGGGACACCATATGAACTCTAATCTCACCCTACTTGTCTGCCTTGGAGTTGGACATCAGGAATTTCTCCAACCTGCTTCATCTGATAGTTGGTCCAAGATCCCTATATCAGAAAGGTCCCGCCCCATCCTGGGAGGAAGAGGTGTACCTTACTAGGAGGGTGGGAGGAATCTGAGTTGCCAGCCTTGCTGGGTCCCCTCAGTCTATAGAACTGAGCCGGATTTCTTTGTCCAATCACATCTCTGCATCAGACCCTCTTCATCCAATCATATCTCTGCATTGGATTCTCTTTGTCCAATCACATCTCTACATCAAACCTTCTTTGTCCAATCACACTTCTACATGGCTGTCCATGCTTGGGATATCAGGAAGGGTAGAGAATGCAGAGAAGACATGCACACGCCATGCTTCCTTCCCCTGTACCTTGCCTGGTGTGTTTCCTGACCATGTATCCATGAAGACACACATATCTGTATCTGTGGCATAATAAATTGGCAAGGCTGGGGGCACAGGTCAACCTGGTGACACCTCCCTTTCCTTGTCCCATTCCAGAGGAGCCCACAGTTCCTAGAAGACTTTCTCATAGGAAGTTCAAACATCGCTGAAGAGATCTTTCAGAGAAAACAGAGGGAAGCAGCGAGGGCTTCAGGCGCTTTCCTGAGCCTCCTGAGCTGAGAGTGTGGGGCTTTGTGCTCCCCAGTGAAGAATTAAAGGCAACTCTTTGAACTTGGATTTCAGAGTTGTTGTTGGCTTTTTTTTTCTTTTGACCCACAGCTGTTTTCATGACTGGTTCCAAAGACATCCTGGAGTGGTGAGCCACAGGGAGGAGGGAGGGAGAGGGGGAAGAGCCACACATCCCCCACACACTTGGGAGGCTCTGGAGGAACAGGCCCATCCAGCTGGGCACACATTGGGAGGTCCTGCCAGGCTCACCCTTTATCTCAGGATTTGTTCTCTACTGGAGCTCAGACACAGGAAGGGGGGGAAGGGCAGGAGACCAGTGAAAAGGTCCATGGGGGCTCGACCGGCTGGAGCTAGCCACCCACATTCACCCTGCTCTCCGCACACACACACCCTGGGAACTTTGGGGACCCGATTCCAGGCAGTGTGCGTGTTGGGCAGAGCGGCCTGAGCTGACCCTCGCTGGAATTCCCCTATAGTGAATTCACTGCTAGTTCTGTCGCCCATGAGTGCCCTCGGCACGACTTCTTTTGAGTAGGTTGTGGGCCCCTACTTTCTCTGCTGACTACGATTTGGGGGGCCCAGGCAGGCCTTCCATGTAAATCCTTCCCTCCCAAGGTCTCCTTTAATTCTGCCACCAGCACCATGTGACCACCACCGCTGACATGGATCCCGGGAAGCAGAGGTGGGGACACTCTTATTCCCCTTCTGTCTTCTGAAACCCTGGGTGGGGGGGGGCAGGGGAGGGCAGGAGAAATCCAGACTAGTTTCCGTCTGCAGTGAATAAGACGTTTACATGCCCCACCTGGAGAAGAACGGGGGTCTCCTCTGAAGTCCTGAGGAAACTTCCCGAACCCGTTGGGTTTGATCCGATCACCTTCCGGACTCCCTCTATCTCCTCCTAACGGCTCCAGGCACCAGTCGGCACTGGAACAGTCCGGCTCTGCGCCCCACCCCCACCCCAGTGCAACCTCAAGAAACAACCCCGCAACGGCCCAGCCCGGCGGCCCCCCGTGCGACAGCGGGGACAGAGATCCGGGCAGGGTCTGCCGGGCAGGTGGCACCAAAGGCAAAGCCGGGCGCGGGCCTCGGGCGCAATGCACCAGGTTTCGAAGACAGCCGAGGCCCCGAGGCCTCCGAGTGTCCACCGTGCAACGGGCACGGAGCAGCCCCGACGGCCGAGCCCGTACGGCAAAGGCGCGGAGAGAGGAGGCCCGAGGCCCGGGGGCGCCTCGTG